GGCGCGTAAACGAACAGGCGCGTCCCCTACTGCTATTACTACTGCTACTACTACTTCTACTACTGCTACTACTACTACTACTACTACTACTGCTTCTACGATGTCATGTAGCTTGGCGAGCCTAGCAACTGGGGTGAAGCAACAGAGGCCTCACATGCTGCTATTTGCAGAATTTCTTTGCAGACACAGCAACATGACAGTGGGGAGGAAGACGTATTTGGTCAGTAGGGATTCCACTGGCATCTCGTCTGCAAGACATGCCACTGCTAGGAAGACTGTTGTCAGCATGCTGGCCTGATCGGGCCCGCAGGCTCTCCAGTTTCGCTGAATTGCAGCCTGTCGCCTTTCTCGGTGGTTGTTTGACTGAGGGATCCTCTTTTAGGGCGTGTGGGGTACCTTGATTTGCCTATTTTGCCGTCATGCCTCAACACTAAAGCCTACTATCCTTCGTCCTTTAGCTGCTATTTGCTCTCATTGCTTTGTTGAGCGTCTCATTGTCGCCATATAGGCCACGAAGACCTTAGCAAAAGAACAAGTCTTCTCTCCACAATGGCGTGGCATCCCACACATCCCAGTGCTACACTTAGCATCAGCTCCAAGTCTACATACGCTACCTGCTGCCACTCGTCTAGACATGCCTTGCGCCCAAGTCTTATGTCCAAATCTTATGTCACCGTGAATCGGCAAGATAGTTTGACTGAAATACTGATGTGCTAGCCATAGTGTCAATGCAAAGACAGTGCTGCGGCTGCTGCTGCTGCTGCTGCTGCTGCTACTGCTAGCGGTGGTTAGAACTGAAAAGATTGAAATCAATGGCAATAGCAGTGGCAACGCTGCTAGTAAACTGGTACCCAACACCATTGACAGAACCAGTAGTTCGAGTTACACTGACGCCAATCATAGCAGCCTTTATGGCACTAGCCAAAGTAAGAGAAAGCAGAGTAGGAGTACTGATTGTCATTGTAGTCATGGTCGTGGTTGTCCCTTGTGGCCGTCGCAGTTGACGTTGCCGCCGCGGTGTTGGTCATGGCCGTCGTTGCAGGAGCAGTAACCCTTACAGTAGCATTGCAGTACGCAGCAGCAGGAGCCGCAGCAGCAGTCATGATTCATAATCGTACAAGAATTCGTCCCAGCGTCGACGGAAAGCCCAGCTCGGAGTAGAAGCAGCAGGAATTTGTTGTCCAGTACATGGCGGGCGGCCGGCAAGTCGTTCCTCGAGATTTGTATACAGCAGCTCTTCTCATTGTAATAGTAGGGACAGGGCTTATCCATGAGCATCCTGCCAGGCTCTTTGTAACATGCGTCTTCATGTGAGTTTAGAGGAACACGGGGGGATGTTCAGGGGTGCAGGTGCCATGCTGGCATCTACACTTAACAAGACTGGACATGTCTAGCGAGTCTAGCTGCACAAAATACTCCAAGTGGGAGTCTTAGCTAGAAGCATCCATCAAACGCCTTTCAGGAAGGGACAGAGCCGTTACTCAGGCTGTCAGTTGGTAAACGGTTACACCGGGTTCTGTGGTTCCTGTAATTGCTCTTATCGCCTAGCAGATCCACTGTGCATGCACTGTGCATGCCAATTCATCCTTACGCACCTAGGCCTTGAGGATCCTGGAGGCATGCCAAGCTTCAGAGAGCTTTCCGGGAACCTCTTCCAATAGTAGCCTGACATAGTCATGGGAAGGCTTCGCTCGCTGCAAGTGGGGTTTGGCTTTAGGACCAAGGTGGGTAATAAGCTGTAGGTTGGACCTTCATGCGCTTCAGGCAGCACAAAAAACCCAATAGCTGCTCGCTGTCCTGATACTTGCGTGGAGGCAAAGTAACCGACCTGGCAAACCATTAGTAGAAACTAGATGCCCCACAGTCAGGAGCTCTCCAAATGTTGCACCATTCTTGCGTGCAAAGCTGGGGGAACTCAACACTGGATGGCTGAATTGCTTCGTTAACGAGATAAAAGGGAAATTGCGGGCTGAAACTCTTTCGAGAGATGTGTTGGATATGAGTTTCCCGAGCCAGTGCGCGAACAATGGAGACGAAGCGCTGAGCAAAACAAAACAGGCATTCAGGGACCACCTAGATCGAAAGAAATGCGGCTGCACAAGACTCGCTGGAACACCTCCGTCAACAGCCAACCATCTGATCACAACGCGTGGATAGCGAAGACTTCACGGCTCTAGAACTAGGTGCAGGCTTAGACAAGCTTCGCCCCAACAAGGCCCCAGGTCCCGACTGGCGAATTGCTCCTGCTAATGGTTGCAGAGTCTAAAAAGGTTGATCAACTACTACCACGCCATATGGGCAAATGGAAGGCAGCCGCAATCGTTTCAATTTGTCAAGGCAGAGGCTCGGCCACGGACCCCTTTCTACAGGCCTACTCCGCTGCTCAACGCCATTTATACAATGTTTTCTGCAATTTTGCAAATGCAGTTAGCACAGCAGCGCAAGCTGGATCTCAGGAGACTCAATATGCATTTCGCCCCAAAGAGGAAGTCATCACCTGCTTTTCATACTACCTGGAGCGCTGAAATGGCCAGAAATGACAAATAACCCGCAGCAAGCTGTGTTCATTGATCGGAATCAAGCAGGGCATTCCATCGACCACCACGCCGTGATGATAGCGCCGGAAATTATTGGACTCTCGGAAAGGGCGCTTAGAATAGTAAGGTTCTTCTATATACGAGCCACTTTCTTTACTACCAATCCGCTGGGCACGTATGCAAGAGGCGAGGTAGGGTCAGGGATCAGGCAGGAGTGTCCCTTCAGCCCATACCTTCGCATCATGATCTTATCGTTTGTTTTCGAGCACTTTGTCCGCGGCCAAGCCTACGCATGACTTGAAGTATGCCGACGATACATTACGTCTCTCCCTGACTGCCACGCAGCTTCAGCACTTGTTGAGAGCATGAGATTAATATCATGACAAGCCATCATGCCATTGCTATTTTTTTTTGAGCATGGACTGCGAGCCTTTGATCATCCGCTTCAGCTCCATTGCGCCCCCGGGCCGTAATTCCTAGCAGGAAATGAGAAATGTCACATTTGACGGTTCTCCTTACCGGGGATAATAAAGGCCATGCCAAGAATCCTCCTAAAAAAGGTAGAGGGTGCGCGGTATATTCTTTGACATGATCTACTGAGGACAGGCCGCAGTCACAACCCCAGTGACAACAAAGCTCAAAAGAATTTTCATCAGGTAACAGGAAAAGGAGCATGTCACGGACGCTGCTACTTCGGAAATGCTTACACTACATGAGCTATAGTCTAAA